CCATATCAGCACAGTAAAATACTTTACACTATTTTCACAGCTACAAGCAAACAATTAAAAAGGAGGAAAGCTGACAATGGGACCCACTTTTTTACACTTTCCATCCTTTTACATGCTAAAAACATACAACCAAACAGCCCCTATGTGGCACAATCCTCACCATCCTCATAAAATAGGAGAGAGAGTATGAGTTGGTGGGGATTTGTGCCTACTTTATGAGGATGGTGGGGATTGTGCCACATAGGCGACAAGGAGGGAAATCTCCTCCTATGACAAGGATACCCATTAAAAACTTTATATATATATATATATATATATAATATATATATATATATATATATATATATATATATATATATATATATATATATATATATATATATATATATATATATATATATATATATATATATGTGTGTTGTTTGTGTGTGTGTGTGTTGGTGTGTGTGTGTGTGTGTGTATGAGAAATATGGGTATGTTTGTACTAAGCAAAATTTTTGTGCTTGTAGTGAGGTGGTACAATCCCTTCACTCATTCAAATGTGAGCCCACAATCCACATGATTGAGGAGTACAATTGGGATATGTAACCATTTGAATGAGTGAGGATTATGCTACCTGCACTACTAAAACAAACTTTTATGCTTGGTACCAAGCATACATATTTCTCTCTCTCTCTCTCTTATATTATATTATATATATATCTATATACTATATATAATATATATATATATATATATATATATATATATATATATAATATATATATATATAGAGAGAGAGAGAGAGAGAGATCTCTACATATGTGGTGTGTGTGTGTGTGATATATATATATACACACACACACACACACACACACACACACACACATATGTAGATCTCTCTCTCTCTCTCTCTCTAATATATATATATATATATTATATATAAAATATATATATACACACACACACACACACACACACACACACACACATATGTAGAGATCTCTCTCTCTCTCTCTCTCTCTACTATATATATATATATATATATATATATATATATATATATATATATATTATAATAATATATATTATATATATTAATATATATATTGGGAGAAGAAAAGGAATTTGAAAATTCAAGATTGAAGCAGTCAAAAAGTCTATATAGCGTTTCACGATATAATGGCTTGTTTACGAACAAAGAGCCCAAGTCCAGAAAGCGCACGCTACTGTTCGCGGAGAAAATCGTCTTGTTGATGTCATTGTTTCCTAAGCAACAGTTTATCAGTTACAAAAGATCCGGTCTTTTATAAGATCGGTTACAACAAAATCAAACAAAGAAAAAAGATTACAACTTTCCTTCTTTCGAAACAAATCGCAAGATCCTGTTTGCGGTCTCTTGCTTGTGTGAGTTCTTTGCCTCGCCGGGTTAATCCGTGGACCACCGCGCGATCTTGATCCGGTCGGATCTACACGGTATGACGGGTGTTATTTCAAGAGAAATAACAACTGTGGGATTATTTTACCAAGGAAATAATAGCCCTAAGTAATCGAAATCGACCAAGCGAAATCGCATACTCTTCTCGGATCAAAACCAAGTTTGATCCGGAGGATGACCGTGTAGATCTCAGATCTGATCTCTCTCCGAACTCCTGCTTTATTTGGCGTGGATGATCGCCAAGAACTAGATCTAAAAAGTCGCAGTCTTCAAAGCTCCAAAGCTCCCAACCTTTTTAGTCTGAGCCTTTAATCCAGCAGAGTTTCCCCTCAGAAGTTCCACCAAAAGTCCAACCTCTAAAATAATGAGCTCCAAGTGTATTTATAGGCATTTCAATCAGAATCTGGGCTCAGATCTGGCCCAGATTTGGTGGCTCGGCAGGTGGCTCGGCCACCTAGGTGGCTCGGCTACCGCCACCTTGGTGGCTTGGCTTTGACCGAGGCCACAAGTGTGGTCGTTTTGGCCGAGCCACCTCTGGTGGCTCGGTTTTGGCCGAGCCACCTAGAGGTGGCTCGGTTTCGACCGAGCCCTCCAGGTGTTTGGTTTTGCGCCGGTTTTTCGGTTTCGCGGTTTATCCGAACTTCATTGTTGATCTGGACAATGAACTTCATTGGTTTTGCGCCGGTTTTCCGGTTTTGCGGTTTATCCGATCACAATCAGCAAGAATATAATAGACAAACTCAGAATAAAAATACATATCACAAATGGGATAACATCCGAGACATAAAATACGGGTCAAACATGCCCTTATACAAATCTGAACAATGAACTGAAGAAATATGAAATACATTGATCAGACAGGAAGAAATGCTACAAAAGTAAACTAGGATCATCGAACAACTAGAGGGAATAACTACGCTTCGGCTTCTTCAGCTCGGTCTTCTAAGTACTCTGCTGAGAATCCTCTGGCTCCTAGCGATCTCCCAGCTAAACCTATTCTTCCTCTAAGTCTGACGTACACCAGAGAAAACAGGTGTACGTCAGGTGCATGACGCACGGCAAGATCCCACAGAGAGAATAGGAACGATCGAACGACCAAAGCAAAAACAGTGATAATAACAATAATAACATGCAAATGAATTACTAATAATCTAAATACAATCTATCACTGGAATAAAGTCATCAGAAGAACCTAAGAAAACCATCCAAGTGTCAAGATCACACAGCTAGCCAACAAGGTAATCATCCAAGTATCCAAATCACACAACTAGATGGAATTAATACTTAAATACCTATAACTTGAGACGTAGTACGTCGAGCGAAATAATCCAAACAAGGAAACCCTCATGTATATACCTTATGTCTCAAATTATAGATAATTAATTATTAATCCCGATCTAAGTATGGAAGGGAGTACAACTGGTCTACATCTCACAAGAATCCATAAAGCCTAGCCAAGGTGACGACACTGATTCACCTTGACTCAACAAACCAACCACAGTGGCGACACCGATCCACTGGTAACAAGTCATGTAACTAGCCATCCTATAACAGGTCACTGGTTCACATCTCACACAGAGTCAACGCTCATATCATCGGATAACTGACTGTTCGCATATCCCCCACGTGCATCCAATCAAATAATTTCATAAACCAAAGTAGCGACACCGATCTACTTTGACCCAACCAATCAGCCCCCAGTGGTGACACCGATCCACTGTGACTCACAAACCAACCCCAGTGCGAAACGGTTCACTGGTTCTAGTCTGGAAGATGACACCGATCCACTGTGACTCACAAACCAACCCCAGTGCGAAACGGTTCACTGGTTCTAGTCTGGAAGATACATCAACAGTCTTATCCGATCACATGAACATTAACTTCCCCATCCCAACTCTTTTCGCTTTTCTAAGTCAACACAATACAAGTCTCTAGGTCACGTAAGGCTACTACGGTCATGACCACTGACAGTTCTCAATCACAACCAAAAATAACGAATACGAATGATCATGTACGATAATATCAAGGCATATCACATAATTAAGAATCAGAAATCATAAAATTGTTCTAAAATAATCTTATGAAATAATAATTTATTTACTTCAAAATAAATTCTTTTCTCATTATAATAATTCTAAAAATATTCTTTTAAATAATAAAATTCATAAATTCAAAAATAATCTTTTTATAGGATAAATTCTCATTAATTCAAAATAATTTATTTTCCCAAAATAATTTCTTTTTAAAAATATTTATCATTCTAAAATGATTTCTTCCACAAGATAATTTCTAAAAATTATTATAATTATTCTAAAATGATTCTTTTCCCTAAGATAATTCCTTTTAAATTATTATAATTTTCCTAAAATGATTTCGTTCTCAAATAAATTCTTTTTAATTAATATAATTATCCAAAAATAATTCCACTGCCGAAATAAATTTTTTTTAATTTATCATAATTATTCTAAAAATACTATTTATCATATTATGATGATTTATCTAATATTATTCATCAAGCAATCACACGCAGATAATTATTAACATATCTAAAATATGCAGAAATTCATAACTTCATCAACAAGCCCACGCAGATAATAGCAATTCATAATCTAATCTATGTAACTAATTAACGACAGATATAAATAGGAAATGACGAGTCAAGAGGAGCGGGATCTTGCATGTACTTAACTAACCGTATATCAAAAATAATAAAGGCGAGACAAAGGATGTGAGATCTTGCCTGCGAGACCGTGGGGTCTGACGACGAGGCGACGGCGCCGATGCGGACGCGGTACGACGGATCTCAAGCGACGTCTGTGGTGGTCTGGACCGCGTCAGCATATCGTCGAACAGGTGGTGTGCGACGAAGGAAGGCGTTGGTGGTTGCGGTTGGTAGTCGTTGGCAGCAAACTTGGGCGTCGGAGCTGTAGGCGTATAAAATTGCTTATAGGTCCCTTAGCACAGCTCGGCACGAACCGACGAACCAATGAGGCGACGAGGTTAACGAATCGCACGCAAGCAACAGAATACATCCATTCACATGTGGAATCAAGCCAAGGGTTCGAAGAGTCAACGAGTCATCCAACCAAGGGCAGACTCGGACGAATCACGATCGAATCAAGATCAGTTTCGGACTCGAACTCAGAAGTGGATTTACTGCCAAATTAGGAATCAGATTTACTGCCAAATCAGATCAACAAATCAGAATCTAAGTCAACCGAATCACGGACAGAACCGAAAAATGGATACAACGCAAAACGACGAAACCCAATGCCTAAGGGGGCTCGGCAAAGCCGAGCCACCATGGG